TGCAACACACCTTCCAAAACTTTAAAATGAATCTATAAATTGTATATTATTACACTTAAATAACTTATGCTTTTGCCACATTTGTATATAAATAACGTAAAGAACATTCGTAGATAAACTCTTAAAATTGGGATTTCATATGACATAGGTAAAAAATGCTATAATATATATGTGTGGTTAGATTCTTTTCCTAAGGTCAACATGCACATAATATAGGAAATTCGGTACGACGATATAGTAAAATTATGTAATTTTGGTTTCTATGGTAAATTTCACGAGTTTAGCATAATCATAATAAATTATTTGTTGTTATTTATTGTGATGATAATATTTATTTTTTATATATCAAGATAAATCCATTTGTGTTTTATGCATATTCAAGTATGTAAAAAAAAAATAAAACTTCTAAAACTAGGGGGTCATATAGCAACGAAGATGGTGCCAAGGCAGAGGCCTAAGCAAAAGCGAAAAGAGTGGTTATGGTTATGTATATAGGGAGGACGAAACAACGACAACGAAGATGAATATAAACCCTTATCCTAGCTGCTGAATTCATCGTCTTGTTAAGCCAATGAAATTTGCATTCCAGAATACGTACAAAGCCTATTTACAATAGGGTTACTACAAATAACACCATCAAGAAATTTATGGCAAATTATTTATTGTTACACTTAATTATAAATCAAGGTAAATCAGTAAATATTATAGCTACACTTTTTGCAAAGTATTTTCTACATGACCTTACAAATCCCTCTTTAATCTATTTATTATAAAGAGGAAGGTTATAATCGCGTGAACGCGTGACTTAAATAAGCTAGTTTTACGTAGAAAACCCTTGTGGGAAAAAAACTATGGGCGTCAACCGGCAATGATCACTACTGAGTAGTTGATTACATATGCAGGGGATATATTGGGTTGTCTCACCCTCACTGTGCGGCTTATAAGGGATATATATAGGAGAAATCTATGAGTCCTAGCGGGGAAAGACTTAAGAGTCATACTAGGAAACTAATCCTAATAGTCCAGTTCTATTAGGAACCTTATCCAAATATATTGCAGGCCAAAAATTCGGATCACATATCTAATAGGATGGAGTCCCCTCCTCCCTTGCCTCTTTTTTTTTTTAGAACTAGGGCATGAAGCCCCCATTTCTTTTACTAGAAATGAGATCAAGTCAGATTACAAGAGTACCAAACAGCAAAACGGAAAAAAACTAAAGCATCTTAGGGAGGACAACCGACCCTTATGCAAAAGGCCATAGCTAGATTATCTATTACAGAGCTATCTTTGCTCAATCCATCCACACAAAAAACTCAGTAAACATTCCCTCTCCTGAGTAATGACCCAATCCTTCTAACGCCTCCTCTCCAGCTGAGCTTCGAGTTGTAGACTTCATTTACCACTTGCTTTAGCAACCTGGCCCCCAATTGAAGATTTTTTCGACTTCCCTCCTGCTTCTGCAAAGTTGCCCACGATTCCACCAAAGAGCAAGCCATAAACATCAGATCAGTAGGATCAGCTGGGAGTTTTTTTTCAAAACAAGCTTTATTACGAAATTTCCAGATTGTCCATATTATTGCCGCAAGACCCACTACCACAAGTTTTTTTTTGTAAATTTATCAATCTTGTTCATCCAAGATCCAAACAGATCTTGTCTATTCAACACAGGATTTATATTGAGAGCACATTTCACAATATTCCATAACAGTCTAGCTAAAGGGCAATCAAAAAAGAGGTGTTGTAAAGTTTCTGTTTGATCACAGAATTGGCAATTAGCCTTCCCTTTTCTCCAGCCCCTTTTGAAAAGATTGTCCTTTGTGAGAATCTTGTTTTTTTAAATAGCCAAATAAAAATTTTGATTTTCAAAGGCACTTTGAAATCCCATAACTTTTTATGCGGGAAAATCACATGTTGCATCTTCAGAGCTTTGTAAAAGGAATTCACAGTGAATTTCCCATCTTTGGTCAAACTCCACCGGAGTGTATCTTTGGTTCCATCTTCCAGAACCAAATCACCCCAGAATTGTTTAATTTTCAGCCAATTCCTCAGTTTATTCCCCAGGACATCCCTTCTGAATTTAATAGAGTCAATCCTCCCTTTTTTCACATTTGCCACAGTAATCTTTTTTTGTCAAAGTAATATTATACAGATCAGGGAACTGTTCAGCCAAAGGTTTACCTCCTATCCAATTATCTTCCCAAAACAAAGTATTCCTTCCATTGCCAACTACTTTAGTACAAAATTTATAAAACATTTCTTTCACATCCATAATTCCTTGCCAGAAATGAGAGACTCTAGGTTTCACTTTCAAACCTGACAAAACTTTGTTGTGACAGTACTTTTTTGTGAGAATATCCTGCCACCAACCCCTCTCATTTTCCAACCTCCATATCCATTATCCCAACATAGCACAGTTCATGATCTCTAGATCCAAAATTCCCAAACCTCCCTGGTCCCTAGGTGAACAAACCAAAGGCCAATTAACCAGATGATATTTTCTTATTCCCTGATCCTCCTGCCATAAAAATCTTCTTCTGAAATAATCCAACCTTTCTTTGACTCCTTTTGGCAATTTGTAAAAAGAGATCATATACATAGGTGTATTGCTTAGGCTTGAGTTGATCAAAATCAACCTCCCTCCAATAGATTGGAGTTTGCCCTGCCAACATCCTAGTTTGTGTTCCATTTTGTTTTCTGTCCCCTTCCAATCTTTGTTCAGAAGTCTTCTCTGATCAATAGGAATTCCTAAATATTTCAGGGGTAAGTTGCCTATCTCACAAGTAAAAATACCACTATAAAGCTCCTGTTTGTCTTGGGCTTCTCCAAAACAAAAAATTTCACTTTTATTGAAATTTATCTTCAATCCAGAAAGTTGTTCAAACAAACAGAGAATGTACAACAGGAAATTACATTATTGCTCTTGTTGGGTGGCACTGCCCTAGGACGTTAATTTAGTCCTTTATTACATTAGTTAGCACAACACCCTAGGAGTAAGGTTTATAGGTATCATAAAATTTCTCTATTGAAGAACTCTATAGCTTGTCTGAACTCAGCTTGAAGGGTGGGACTAGTATGTTGAATGGCATGCCTAATTTTCAGTTGCCCCCAAAATTGATAACTCTCAAGAGGACCGATGCCTGCAAAGTTATTTTGCAGTTAAACATCCATTCTGAGCTCTCAAATGTTTATCTAACGCTTAGAAGATAGGGCTGCTAAAATGGTGCCGTTTATCACATTACCATCCGCTGCAGAGGTAGCTTATCAGCTTATCAACTTATCTTAGAAGATAGGGCTGCTAAAATGGTACCATAACGCCTTTTATTTTCCCACCCGTGTGAGCACGAATCTTTACGCAATCAAACGGTCCAAAAATCGAATGATATGTAACAAGAAAATTGTCGCAAGATTTATAGCAAAACCGTAGTACTACCTTGAAGTTTAGGTGGGGGAGAGCCTGTTCATAAGTCTTTGTGCTCTAACCATGACATCCTCATGTACCCTTACACGAAGGAATGACGAAAGTGCAAGCGGATCGGAGTATTATGCGAACATAGGCCCGCTTAACGTGAGAGCGAACTAATGCGGTTATTGGAGACAACGTGTTACAATAGATACATTTCCATACTTGAGATATAGATATGTGTGACAATTACAAAGAACTAGAGAAATATATACCTCACAACAACTAGAAAAGCTTTTATTGCCATAGTGGTAAACTTGTTTGCTAATCAGTTTAGCTGGTTGTTTTAATATTTTAAGTAGTGGGGAGTTATATATATACCTCTCCAAGAATAGGATACGCCTTAGAATTGTAATAGACAAACTGTAGAGAAACCAATTGTCTTCATCTGACATATAGGCCATATAAGATTAAATTGTTATCCTGAAGCGGTTTGATCTCTTGCGGATTATTAATTAATGTGCATTGTATGATAAGACACGCTAACAAAACAAAGAAATTTAATTACTTGGACTTTTTTTTTCTGTAAGAGCTTGAATTAGTTGTATTGATACGATTTCAAATATAAAAACAAATCCAGCATTGCTATGAACGAAGTTCTTTATGATATTGTTAAATTAATGTACAACTCTTGTCACTTGTCTTACTCTTCGAGTTCAAGTGGTTGCAGAGATCTCTTTGGTCATACTCCACTGGAAGTATATCTTGGATCGATCGTTTTGCATTGGCATTTGGTTTGGGAGGGCCTGACACGTTTCTCTTAGTGTTACACCATCTCTCTGTATCTCCTTGTGTCTATTCAACACCAATGGTCGACTGATCATTGTGTGAGTAGAGAAAATCAGGTCCTAATCAAAGTAGAATAACTAAAAGTTATCTTTTTGTGACTACGTATTTTTCCAAATTCACTTTAGTTTTGATCCCTGATGCCTCCCGTTCCAATTTTTGATTTGCTTGTCAAACTACATAGCTCGTAGTAACTGCTCATGACATCATGTACCTCTGCTTTTTTAGCACTCACAGAGGGAAAATATATACACACGGAGATCCATATCATATATATGGGGAGGAACTATTGTATTAATTTGCAGTAGTTAGGAGAAGTACGCCACAATTACTTGCGTGCATTATTTATTTATGAGTTTTTTTCTAACATCTTTGATGACCATAATATTGCAACTTTGTAATAGCTAAATTCTATTTATAGAGCATCAGATAGATACCAATCGGTGTGTTCATCAGATAGAGATGGCTTTGCCCCATGGATCTAACAGATGCAACTTGTTCAGTGATGTCTAAGCTCATCCAAGCTCATCCAATTTGTCTCCTCTACAGTATTGTACTCCTCCAGTTTTTGATTCCCAGTGCCTCACATTCTTAGTAATATATCTTACTTAGCAAAATCTGCTTGAAGTTTGTGTCACGTAGTACTTACAGCACTACTCTGATGTTCTTCCTTGACTTTCGAGGAAAAACAACCAAAGTTATCTGTAGATATATGGTAAGAGATCACCATATCTGAAGCTGTAGCACTGTTTGCCTCCACTCTTTGAATCTCCTCGATCTTTTGGATTACAGGAGCAAACAATTATGGCATGAATGACTACAGTAGAGCCATCGACTCCTTCAATCCTGGTACTTCATGCTTCAGTAAGGGTTCCTCATGCCTCCCGTTCCGAATATTACTATAACTCTTGTTGTTTATCTAGGTAGGTTATAGCCGGCATCAACGTAGAGTACCTAGCACTGCTCTTATGTTCTTGTATCTTACCACTTATTTGCTTCAAGTTTGATGAGCTTTTATATATCCTGCCCTGGTGACTTATTTACAGGAAGAGATCAACAATGGATCGATGAAGGCTGCAGCTATTGATGGGGTATGTACTGAAGTATATGGTTTGTGTACACATTATTCGACCGACTTTTAACTGGTATGGTTGGATCATAAATATATATGGGTAGCAGGGGTGGCCTCCCCTTTGTTTCTGTGAAATAATATTTTTCCTCACATTGTCTACCTCATAAGTCATAACTAAATAGATTTTAATCCAAACCAGTTAATATTTCCTCGGTACCTCTCCAGTACCATAAATTTTTTATATTGAAGAACTCTATAGCATGTCTGAACTCAGCTTGAAGGATGGGACTAGTCTGACGAATGGCGTGCCTAATTTTTAGTTGCCCCCAAAATTGATAACTCTCAACTGGACTGATTCCTGAAAAGTTATTTTGCAGTTTAACATCCATTATGGGCTCTTAAATGTGTATCTAATGTTTAGAAGGTTCCAAAATTCACACTTCTATCTATCATGTCTCGAGCTTTAGATTGGGAGAAATTTTACAAGGATTGAAAGACATCGGGATGTATCGATTTTCTTAGATCTCGTAGTATCCAAGGTATTGAAAGTTACAAAATTTTAAACTGAAAAATATAATACTATCTCTTCAAGACTATGAAACTACTGTTAGTTTGAGATATTTTTTACAATCCTCTAGGAGGCACCAGAAGGTACCAAATTTTCAATATAAATTCTTGTACCTCTCATTACTTGATAGCTCCACACCATAGAGTTGATAGAAGGATTGTTTGGAGAAGAACTAACCTAGGATGCACTTGGTTAAATTTGTGGACACCAAATTTGAATCCTAATGGGTAGAGTCATGTATCGACGGGTCTACCACACCAATGTACCACAAAAGAATTATGGTACCTTTTATAAAATCACTCTTTGCTTGGATCCCTGCAGTTAACACCATCTCCAAGATGATTTTAGTATTAGTAATACAAGAAGCTCATGAAATGTGCTGATCACGACATCTTCCTTTACTTCAGCATACTCACCAAACAGAATGTAAAAACTCACCCAAGAATTATAGGATGCTTAGTTCAAGAATAATCAGGTGCCTACTAAACAAACTGTAGAAAACAAACCATTCAAATCAGTGAACGCCGTTAGTTTTCCATAGCTGGGTGGCATGCAAACCATTCAAATCAGTCTCGTGCATGCAGACATGTTCATCTGGGCATTAGTAGAATTCAGAATTGAGACTTCATTTTTATAGGGTACGTGAATACCCAAAATGATCCTTGAACTTTCGCGTAAGAATCAATTTAGTCCCTGACATTTCATATTGTCCAAACAAGTACCTTAAGTTCATTGTGTGATTCAATATAGTCCTTAGACCCTCTAAACATGCCATGTGTATATGCCACATCATTTATGCATGCAAATTCAATATTTAAGGGCCCCTTTGAATCGCATGGTAGAAAAAACGGAGGAATAGGAAAAACACAGGATTTTGACAGGAATTGAAGTGTAAAACAGAGGATTGCAAAACACAGGAAAAACACAGGAATGATCGTTTGATTGGATCGCAGGAAAAACGCAGGAATCAGATGAGAGAGATAGACTCAAAGGAAATTTTCCAAGAGGTTGGAGCTCTTGCTAAATTTCCTCCAAAATCCACATGCAATGTGCCATTCCATAGGAATTTCATAGGATTTGGAAAGCTTCAATCCTTTGAATCAAAGGGCCAAATAGGAAAATTTCCTATAGGATTTGAATCCTATAAAATTCCTATATAAATCCATCCTTTGATTCAAATGGGCCCTAAATGTCCGGTTTTGACCATTGGCAAAAATATGTAGCATTGATAGCTAAAAAAAGTTGACATTTTTCTTTGTTTTATGATTGCTTCTTCTTGTTTTTCTTTTCTTTGTTTGATAGAAAATTGAAGGTTAAAATGGACATTTAAATATTATCTTACATGCATGAATGACATGGCATGTCCACGTGGCGTTTTAAGTGGGTCTAAGGACTATATTAAGCCACATGATAATCTTTAGGGTCTTGTTTGGACATTATAAAACATCAAGGACTAATTCAACCCTTGAGCAAGAGTTGAAGAACTGAACTGGCTATTCACCCTTTTTTATATATATATTTTTTCTTTTTTGCGGGGAAGAGTCCATACTTCAGTCTTTTCTCGCTGAAAAAAGAAATATACTCGTAGCACTAGTTCAGTCAGAATTCAATTCAGAAATCTTGGAGTACATGGAACTAACTTGATCTTGGAATACTCCTAGCACTACTACTCCTTCATTCAGAATTCAGATTGCGTTGTAAACCTGTGATTGAATTCAGAATTCAGAATTCAGCCCCTACCCCCGACGGCGAGCAGGGCGACGCCGCCAGTAGGGATAACTAGCGTCGGCGGCCGGGGAGCAAATTAAGGAGTTCAATTTCGTATGGAAACTCTATACTAGTTGTGCATATTAAGTTTTCAGAGTCAAACAAGTTTAATTTCTCTTCCAAGCTTGAGATCAGCCTTGCTAGTTGTATGTGTTTTGATTGACTAATAGACTAAACCACCTGTTAATGTTCTCCTCGTGCTTAATGTGTTTTCATTACTAGCTGCACCGACCAGCGGTAGAGAGCCAAAATTTTTTTGCACATAAGACTAAGCTAATGGGAGATTAAATATTTTTAAAAATTATATAGTATTTTTCAAAATTATAATAGAGATTATAGAGCTAGCTATGAGGCTTAAGCCTTAGCTGCCCCATACCTGTTTCCGCCCCTGGCGCTGAGCAAATCTGTCTGCTCATTGCGGTTTGTTCGGCCTTCAGTTATGGTCCCCGATGCCTCCGGTTCCGATTCGATTTAATTGCTTGTCAAACTGCTCATATCCCAGCATCATCTTGCTCTGCTAGCTCAAGTGCTCACAGAGACACAGAGGCATCATATATACACAGAAAGAACCATAACATATTGTATTGCATTAATTTGCTTTTGTGAGAAAGGAAAAGCTAAGAGTGGGTAATAAGAAAGCTTGGCCCCCCCATCATTACATCAAGTCATAATTTATTACTAACTTCAAGGTTCTGAACATTTTTGTGCATTCTAAACCACTTGAAGGACCATAAAAAACCTTTCGGTTGTGAGTGAGAAGTGGTTTGATCTCACATGGTTTCGTCAATTAGTTCTTATGATAAGACATCTTAACAAAAACAAAAACTAAATTAAATTGTTTGATTTTTCCACTCAAACTTTTTTTTATCATAGCACTTCAAGGTTTTTCATGATCAGGAGTAGCATAACTGTTAGACACAGTTAATTCCTGGCTTATTACTCGGACTAGTCTAACTAGGAATATTTATGGGTGTAAATATGAAGCATCTACCATCCACTAATCAAGTCAAACATGCATGAAGATGACTTTTCATGTCTTGTTTGCATTGGACAAAACAAGCATCTACTACTATTCCTGATCAGCAGGGCATGAACACAAGAAAAAAATCAGCACCAAACTAAACAAAACTGCACCAGAAGAAGTTCAGATTAGTATACGTTGTCTAGCTTGGATGCTAGAAATTAAGATGTCGACTGCATTTTGTCAACGGCATTTTTCTTTGGATGTTGTAGAGAACCACATGTTTTTGCCCCAGAATTAATCTAACAGGAACTACTTGTTCTATGAGGCAAAGCTATGCTCATCAATCCATTGTGTGTCCCCTTCCATATTTCAAGATCCTCTAGTTTTGATTCCCAATGCCTCTCATTCTCACTACTAGATCTCACTTTACAGTCTGCTAGAAGTTTGTATCTCATGTTTGTATCATATATGCCCTAGACCAGCATATATAGCAGAAGAGCCTGGAATATATAGGAAGAAATGTGCAAATAATTCACCATTTAGCACATTTACCACCTTATATATGTAGTTCAAGGAAAAAAGGCACGGGGGTTTACAGCCTAAAGCACACGCAATAATCAGTTTGCATATATATCGGATGAACCTGGAAATCTTGGGAAATAGACGGCCTGGCAGATGTGGACACACCCAGCGCCAAGTAGTAACCTTCACTTTCATTCACAATATATAGATCACATTGTTTTGTAAGGTTACAATTGCGAGAACACATAAAGATTGTCAGAAAAGATGAAAATTGGTATTAATTGTACATGTTTACTGTTGGTATTGCATTACAAGCTTTACTTCTGTCCAGCAGATTGTACCAGGTGTTGGAATCAGCCTAGGAACACAAGAACAGAGCTCTCTTTCTCTCACACACAAGAATGGCCGGAGGTTGAATATGAACAGTGGAGTTTCGGCGACGAACGCCGCGGAGCCTATCGCTCCTGTATCTTGGCTTTATTACTCACTGAAAGTTCACACGGCACTTCCTAAATACGAGCCTACATAGCCAGTTTTATACCCACGGCGACGCAGCGCCCACGCACCCACTTAGCGAGCTTCACGCGCACGTACGCATGGCAGCCTGGACGACCTGGTTTCACGCGTTCGTGAGCCACATACTCCTCCACATGAACGGGCCTCCATCCTTCTTGCATGGCGTGCTCCTGCATGCGCTCAACCGCCAGGACTTGGCCTCTGGACTCACATACATCGAACACACACACACAACGTGTACAGCACCACCACAATGCAGCACACACGCACGACTCCTGGACTCACGACGCCATGCGCCACTGCCGCGCCGCGGCAAAACGCAGGCACGGCCATGACAACGCGTTTATTCCTAACACCAGGGTACTAGTGCTGGATTGTACTGAAACAAATCCATCTGTCCATCACGAGGGGGTATGAACGGGAATCAGCGAAACCACAAAGAGAAGCGAAACCCCATCTCCGGAGTCACGCCGTCGCTTTCTCATCTGTTCACTCTTTTTTCCTCCCTCTACATTTGCGCCTCTGCAGCAGCGGAACCACCATACAATAGACAGAGGGGATTCAAGCGAGGGTTCGTTCCTCACCTAGACAAAACTCATACTCCCTGAACATCAATATAAATATAGAAAATGCTAGAATGATTTATATTGTGAAACGGAGGAAGTAGTATCTACGCGAAATACAAAATTACCCTTCCACCACTCTCAACATTGCTGGTACCACATCACAGGCAAACACGTTCAGCGAATAAAAAAAAGGCGCACACGGGCGCTGCTGTCGGCCTCCCCCTCCGACCGATGGCTCTCCTCCGTCTGCCGCCGCCCCCACACAGGCGTCGTCCTCGTCGCATCGGTGCCATCGTCTTCGCCGCAGTTGTCGTCGTCGTCGTCGTCGTCGCTTCGTCGCCGCAGTTGTCGTCATCGTCGTCGTCGTCGCGCGTCTCCTCCCCCTACCCACAGGCAGCGCCGTCGTCGTCGTTGTCGCGCATCACCGCGAGAGGGAGGAGCCGAGCCGAGAGTCGCCGTTGCCGAGAGAGGGCGGGCGAGCTGGTGGTGGAGGTGGAGCGGAGGCGGCAGGAGGGGAGCCAACTCGGCTAGGCGGCCGGCGGCTGAGGCGGTGAGGAGCTGAGCCGGCGGTGGGATTTGCTGGTGGTGGTGAACAAATGAGAGGGAGAGAGAGAGGACTGGGAGGAAAATGAGTGGGGGGAGTGGATAAGGATGAAATTTAGATTTTTTTTTTGGTGGTATGATTTTTGCTGGCGGACCACATAAGGTTCCGCTTGCAAAAATCATATTTTTCTAGGTCCGCCACCGAAAGTAAAGGTATTAATTTACTCTATGAGCTGACTGTGCTACAGAAG